TTTGTTGATTCAGCTCGATCCAAAGTAATTTGTAATCCAAATGAGATAGGTGGTTTATGCCAAGTCATAATCTGAACAGTGTGCATGCAATCACTTAATCTGTTCACTTTTTTCCGATCGTGGAAATCTGACCTGACTGCGCATGTGCGATCTGTCATCCTCATGTATTTCCGCCTGGCTAATGCTAATAATATTAGCATGTCGGGGAGGTAAAACTGGTCGGTGAGCGACACAACGTTTCTACTAGAAACTTTGAAAGAGCTCAAAATAATCTGTATTACCTGTAGCTCAGTCAAGGAGTGCAGTAATGTCTCCACCGTCATTAAAACCTGACACGGCTCCATTTTGGTCGCTCAGGTTTGTTTACGTTCATCCCGCACGTAAACCAGAAGTAGAACTTCTTCTGTGTTTTTTAAGGAATGTTTACCACTCTGCTCATGTCAGTACTTCTATTCAGAATAAAAGCCCGCTGTAAACGCTCGTCGTGAACGGATTGTTCTCATATAAATGATACATTCGAATTATTTAATCTGAAAACATTTGGTTGTTATGATAATTTATTTAAGAATATGCTGAATTTGGGAGGTATGACAGTAGATATTTTTACATGTTTATATGTATCATTGGACTCTGAGTTTGTCATTTATTCTGTTAGTGCATTCACTTGTTCCGCATGTTCAATTGTTCAATAAAAATAAAAAATAAAATCTGAAAACATTTCAATCCGGTCAAAGAATTTTGCGCATGTAAACATAGCTAGTGTCTCCGTACAATCAGAATTTCATGTTCCAAGAGTTATCTACAACAGATAAAATGTTAACTGCTCATAACCTTTCTGTGGAAGGTGTGGCCAGTGTTGCCAGGTGAGAAATCTAGGATTATTGTACTATAGACATAAAAGTATCGTATTTTGAGGGAAATTATCGTACACCCGTCATAACCAAAATAACAAATCTATTGATGCACTATAGTAGTGATGGGTCCGCTTCCAGACCGGCTCTGCTTCTTCTTCTTTTCTTTTTTCTTTTCCTCACTCACAGCGCAGGTGCAGCTGACTATTCAGCCAATCATGGTTGTTGTTCTGAGGTAAACACATACACGTCACCCCATAGGTAACATTTAGAAAAGCACGATTGGCTGGAAATTCCAGCCAATCGTGCATCTGTTTTCGGACACAGATGCCTTCAGGGTTCACAAAAAACTCAGACAGAAAGTTGCGAGAGGCTGATGACAACTAATTACAACCACACATTCACGGAATGGTCAAATTATTGTATATTTGGCCTTTTTTGGGATTATCGATCATAATTGTCGTACAAATACGATAATTATCATCCACCTGGCAACACTGGGTGTGACGTATCTCTTTAATACAGAGGTGGGGGTTGGGCTTCGGATCTAAGGCCAGTATCACCATCAAGGAACTCCAAACTCTCCTGCCTACTGGAACATTATTCATTCCTTTCATTTTCACCTAACCTGACATTGTCCTCCTTGAAATCTACCTCCCTTCACAACTCTCTTCCCCCCCACCCCCCAATCTCAGTTATAATTTCTTACCTTCCAGGAGAAAATGCCTACTTTCTGCTTCTCCATCCCTCTGCCCCACTCCCATTCATTCCCTTATGGTAATTTCTATTGATTTGTGCGTAAAAGGCTTAAAAGCTTGAATTAGCACTTTCTTTAGAACCCAAACCCCGCAGCCGAGCGGTGCAGTTTCTAACGAAAGACTTTGAAAATAAGACGCCGTTACGCCATTCTTACTGTAGCTGTGTCCAATCCACACCTCGGTGGTGAAGTAAGAGCTCAAACTGTGGTCTGGCCCTCGTGATCCTGTCAAGATCCGTCAGTTGTCGGCAGAAAATGTCAAGCTCTGCCGGTGTCCAGATCATCCATCCTCTCACTCTATTTCTGCTCAACCCCCTCACAGCCAAAGCTCTATAAATGTCATTTCATCGTGCACTTGTCTTTATTATGAGTTTTTTATTTCACCTCTCTCCCCACTTTTGTTGCCCTCTCCAATGCTCTGACAGAGCTCAGCTTTCCCTTTTTCTTTCATTTCCTTTCTATCAATTCCAGCCCTGTCCTCCTGCATGAATCCATCCCTCTGTGTTTTTTTTAACTGTTAAGAAACCACACAATTGGATTAGCCAGATCTGACTCTCGTTTGTCTTGTTTCTGTTGAAAGCACAACAATTAGAGATGCAGGGGGGAGGGAGGGTTCAGTGACCGAAACAGAACAGAGCCCGAAATACAGAGAACAAAAAGGAACAAAGAAAAATAATAAAATATGTAAAAGATTTAGGGCCTGACAGCCATTTGCAGGTTGCATTTTTATGAAGTTTTAGTCCAGGATGGCTGCCAAGGCCACATCTCGCGAGATATGTTAATTCTCAGAGTGTGTGATGAGGGTGACTCTCAGCTACTACCATAATTTTGAACAATTTATAGACATTTTTGTTTTGGGAAAGATAGATTAGTTGCAGCATGAATTGAATTCAATCCAGATCAGTAAAGATACACATCCACTGACTACTTCTTGAAGGCTTTGTTAAAATACAACCCATGCTTCAGGAGAAATTTTGCTAACACGTTATTGACTATAACAGTTAATGCCAAAATTAAGAGTAACGTGTCCAACAAATAATATCTGAATATATGTTGAGGATGATTCTCAACTACTACCACAGTAAGTTTCAACACATTTGTGAAACTGACCAAATTGTATTTGTTAACATTGATTAACTCTGGTGGTCATCTTGCATATTGAATCCATCCATCTATCCATCCATCCATCCATCCATCCATCCATCCATCCATCCATCCATC